CTTGTGCTAGCATTCAGCTACTTCTGTCCTGTCTTGTGCTAGCATTCAGCCCTGTATGCTGCTTATGCAAAGTCTCCCCTGTTTATGCTAATGCTGCAAATGCCTGCTATGCAGTTTCTTGCTAGCATTTTGCTACTTTCGACTTTAAGCTACATTTTTCTTGCCATTTTATAACGTTTCACTACCTCTGGCTTTTAGCTAGTGTTTTTCTGCCAGCTTTTCGCCACTTCTGTCACCTAACATGTTTATTGCTGCTGCACTTTGTGGCTGTATCATGTATGTCAATACCTTACCGTCATAATTCAACTCATCTCAGTGTTAATCACTAATAACCTGTCACACAACCTGTGCAGTTACTGCTCTAACTGGATATATTCCAGGTGTGATGGGTTAAATGCAGAGACATATAGCACTTATTATTATGTTAGTTATGTGGAATATCTATCACGTACATTTAAGCTTATATTACTACCTGTGAAACACTCATTTATATTAACTCATCCTGCTTGCACTGTTATATTTCTACCATGCTGTTGTTTACCATATTTCTTTAGGACCTTGTAAATGTTATAGTTCTTTTCACTCTTGGCACTTTATTTTGTACTTTTATTGCATGCTTTGGCATTTCTTGTTTTTTATGGAGTCGAAACGGTTCGTCTCATCCTGAACATTTCATTGTATTCTTGACCTTGTGTTGATCTGCATATGACAAACAAACTTTCTCCAAGTTAGTTTCTCTTTTTGGTGTTTTTTGGATGCGTTTCTCTCCTTATCACTCTAAGCTACCTCTTTCTTGTTTTTATGCTAGTGTTTTGATCATTTTAGTGTTTACCTAGCTCCTTCATGTTTTTGTTGGCATATTGCTACTTATGCTTCTATGTTACTATTGGGTTTTTTGCTAGCATTTCACCATTACTGACTGAGCTTAACATTTTCCTGTATGTGTTAGCTCTAAGCTACTTCTGGCTCCAAGCTGTATTTTCCTGCTTTTTGTTAGCATGTTGCTACCTTTGCTTCTAAACTATCTAAACTAGCTTCTTCTTGCTTTTTGTTAGCTTTGCTAAAACTGGCACTAAGCCAGCTCTTTCATGCTTTTTGCTCGTATTTTACTGCTTCTGCCTCGATGTTAGCAGTTTCTTGCTTTTTTACAAACATTTCACTTCTGCTGGCTTTAAGCTAGCTTTTTCCTTCTTTTTCCTGACTTTATGCTTCTTCTGGATCTTAGCTAGCTTTTTGGTGCTTTTTGCTAGCGTTTCGCAACTTCTGACTAAACTAGCTTTTCAACAATTTTACATTTTCAGCTGTTTGTATTAAACAAGTAGTGGCAGTTCAGCAATGGACAAATTACAGCTCGAGTTCAACGTCTTCAGCAGCTTTTAGCAAAACATTCAATAATAAGTCTTGACACCACATTTTCACAGGAAATGTGATTTTTTTTTTTCCTAGCTTAATTTGTGCTCCTCTGAAACTGAAATGTCAGATGAGATAAGGATGTGCAGTTCTTACCATAAAGAGCTCAAACTCATCTTCATTGCGAGCTATCATCTGGTTAAGGGTCTCGTCGTCTGGTACCTCATCTTCCTCCTAAAATACAAGTTACAGGCGCGTCCTTAAATCACTTATAATCAAAGCAGAACTCTTTTTATTTGGTGGCTGAACTGCTGCAGATGAACTAAATTTTCTTGTATTAAAATATGAAAAATGAAAGAGGAAGTCGGTTTAGAAACCCACAAAGCTAACAAAACAAGAAGAATTAATTTGCACATCAAATCTTTACCCATGCTGAGTAATTTAATCAAAACTAAACACTGATGAATAAAACATTTATTCCAGAGGAAAATCATGTTTTTATGACCTTTCACATTCATGTTTTCAAATGGCCCTTTAGACCCAAGGCTCTTGTCTGACCACGAAAATTTGTATTTGAATAATAAACTAATTAAAACGTTCCAATCATCATATTTTACAGACCCAGATTTGACCTCGTTCTCTTTGCTGAAAGACGATTGGGAGGAACTCTCATTTGAACCCGAGCGGCGTTCTGTTGTTGGACTTCTGTGCTTGTCACAGTTTGTCCATCACGAACATAATGATCGAACATAAGGGTGTCCAGAAGTGCACGTGGTACCAGGACACCATCGGTCGTAGATCCATGATTGACTTTGTAGTCGTGTCATCTGATCTGCGGCCGTATGTTCTGGACACTCGGGTGAAGAGAGGAGCTGAGCTGTCAACTGAGCACCACCTGGCAGTGAGTGGCATCAGACGGCAGGAGAAGATGCTGGACAGACCGGGAACATCCAAACGTGTAGTGAGGGTTTGCTGGGAACGCCTGGCAGAAGAACCCTCATAAGGATCTTCAACTTCCACCTCTGACAGAGCTTCCACCACGTCCAAGAAGACGTGCAGGATATTATGTCAGAGTGGGCCACGTTCTGCTCCTGCAGTGTCGAGGCAGCTGCCTTGAGCTGTGGCTGCAAGGTTGTTGGTGCCTGTCATGGTGGACATACGTGATCTTAGTGGTGGACACCACGGGTTATGGAGGCTGTCCAGCTGAAGCAGGAGTCCTATCAGTACTTGGCTGTGCTCGGATGTGGTGAGGACCTGGATAGAAACCCTTGATTGTCTCAGAGGAGCTAAACATCAGGTGGCTGAGGGGGGGAAGCAGCTCTTTACCAACACTGTGTTCAGTAAGGGTGGGGTGCTGTTGACCTCAACCAGTGATGTCGTCGGGAGGTGGAAGGAATACTTCTCGGACCTTCTCAGTCCCACCGACACGTCTTCCATGGAGGAAGCTGAGTGGAGGGACTTGGGAGTTGGTCCGTCTATAACCAGGGCTGAGGTTCCTGAGGTGTCAAAAGTTCTGCTGCAGGACTTTGGGAGTGGATGAGATCGGCCCAGAGTTCCTCAAGGCTCTGGACGTTGCAGGGCCGTCTTGGTTGACACGTCTTTGCAACGTGATGTGGACACTGGGGGCTGCGCCACTGGGCCTCACCTGATAAGGTCTATTCAGGGGTGAAAGAGTCCGATCGATGGGTGGGTGGATGGATGTTCTTTGTGTTCTAAACTGAATGGAAGCTCAGTGTCTCAGTGTTCATGGTTTGAAGAGGAACATTTTACAGACTCAGACTTTACCTCATTTTGTTCTTCATGCTCCAAAATGGCCTGAAGGAAAACTCGGCGCTCGTGGCTTGAGGATTTCTGGTCAAACATTCCTGCCTGGATGACCTTCTGATCCACATTCAGTTTGTATTTGGCAGCTGCTAAGATCTTCTCCTCCACGCTGTTGACGGTGCAGAGGCGGAGCACACGGACTTCGTTCTGTTGCCCAATGCGGTGAGCCCGATCCTGGGCCTGAAGGTCCTGCAATCAGCCGGTGGAACAAAGATTTTAAAACGAGAAGGTCCAGAAACAAAGTTCAAAATAAACTTGTATAACATTCTGAATATAAAAAAACTACGAAACTTCCTGCAGGTAACTCTTTGGTCCTGAAGACCAAAACCTGACTGATCATCTAAAGATTGTCACAAGTACCAAAGTCCATCCAACATTTTCAGTCAGGTCATCTGGACTGTTTCTTTCTTTCGTTTTTGAGCCCAAATAAAAAAGAAACCGTCCAGATGACCTGACTGAAAATGTTGGATTGTCAGAAGTACTGCTACAAGCCGCTACGTTTCTCACACGCTTTGAACACGGCGACTTGCACAATGCTGCGGCTAATTTATACATAGATACATTTTTGATGGGCTAACAAGCTTCATGCTGCCAAAACATTTAGCCTCGTCACACCCGGGCGCTCACATAGCTGCACAAAACACGTCTCGTGTGGACACGACGAAGTATTTTCAGCCACTTGGCATACAGGTGCTGGTCATAAAATTAGAATATCGTGAAAAAGTTGATTTATTTCGGTAATTCCATTCAAAAAGTGAAATTTTTTATTATATTATTATATATTATATTCATTCATTGCACACATACTGATATATTTAAAATGTTTTTTTCTTTCATTCAGCCTTTATTTATCCAGGAAGTCTCATTGAGCCACGAGAACTCATTTTCAAGCGAGACCCGTTTAGGGAGCAGATGGGGGTTAAGTGCCTTGCTCATGGGGCCAGGGTGGGGCGAATGAGGGTGGGGGCAGGTGTGGGTGCTTCACCTACCCCACCCACATTTTTTATGTTGTCGGTACCAGGGCTTGAACCGGCAACCTTCCGATCACAGGCCCACCTTCTCTAGCCTCTGCGCCACCACTCCCCCTTTTAATCTTTTTTTAACCTTTTAATGTTGATGATTATAACTGACAACTAATGAAAAGCCCAAATTCAGTATCTCAGAAAAGTAGAACATTGTGAAAAGGTTCAATATTTTTGGACTCATGTTCAACATCACGTTCTTCTTTAGCTGCAGTAAGAAAAGTCTAAAGTTCTTCGTCGGTCTGTTCAATGAACAAGATGCAGTTCAAACGTTGTAATTTCTCAAACAATCCCATATTTTCAAATTCATTCATTCAACCTTTATTTATCCGGGTCAGTCTCAAGGACTCCTTTTCAACAGAGACCTGCTTGATCATGTTAAAAGAGCAATCTATAATTCTAACAACCTGAATATTCCTTATTTGTGCCGGACGACAGACGCAGCTCACGTGCGTGAGAACGAAGGTGCTGGACGTACCTGGTGAGGGTTCCAGTCGCTGTCGAAGATGACGACGGTGTCGGCAGCCTGCAGGTTGAGGCCGAGACCTCCAGCTCTGGTGCTGAGGAGGAAGATGAAGTACTGGGAGCCTTCCTCGTTAAATTTCTTCAGCAGCATTGCTCGATCCTCAGACTTGGTGGTTCCTGAAAAATCCAATCTTAACGTTTTAAACTTCACCATATTGTTAAAAAAAAAAAACATAAAACGAAAATATTCTCAGCAGTGCAACGTTTTCATTTAGTCTTAGATCCAATAAAAATGAATCAGTTAAACAAAGGAATTAATAATAAAATATTCGATCTTTGATAGTTATGTGCAGAAAACCAAATCTAAAATCAGAACTGCTCTTTTATTCTGGTCTCCTGAGAAAGTTGAGACTCATTTGAAGTGAAATGACTCAGTTTCTGGGACGGAGGGATGAAAGTCTGAACACGGGGATCAAAATCTAAACATCACTTTCATCCACTCCTCCTTTCTTTATGATCTGAAAGCAGTCAAAATCCTAAATGTGGAGAGCTGCTGATCAGGACCAGGTTCAAAGATTACAGGCAGGTCTGGATGAGTTTTTGATAAACATGCACCTGGAGATGACTTCAGGAGAAAAACACAATCACATCACAACCTAAATGTCTGTCAAACTTTCATTTAGCTTCTTTTGTGAGTAAAGGCCATCAAAGGAAGACGGACATGCGGGTCTGTAGTCTGAAGGCTCAAAGGTTCAGAGTCTGCTCCTTACCATCCAGACGTAAATACTGGAAGTTACGATAGCCGAAGTAGTCCTCCATGATGGTCATGAGCGTGGTCATTTGGCAGAAGAGCAGGACTCTGTGTCCGGTGGCCTGAAGCTTCGGTAAGATGCGATCAAGGAGCTCAAACTTCCCAGAAGCTCTGTACAGATCAGGCCTACGAAGAGAGGATTCATTTCAAAATGTCTGATCCATCTGAACATTTCCAGACACGCAGACCCCGTTTGTCTGTCTCACACCGCGATCATTGGTTGACTTTAAAAAAGGCTTAAAGACTTTTAATGTAAGCAAGGCTATTCTGCTTCCACATGATTTTATCACTGACTTTAGTTGATTTATCACTGATTTTGGTTGATTTATCACTGGTTTTAGTTGACTTTATCACTGATTTTAGTTTATTTCATCACTGATTTTAGTTGATTTCATCAATGATTTCAGTTGATTTTATCATTGATTTAATCACTGATTAGTTATTTCATCGCTGATTTCAGGTATTTTATCACTGATTTTAGTTGATTCTATCAGTGATTTCTGTTGATTTTTATCACTGATTTCATCACTGATAGTGGTTTATCAATGATTTCAGTTATTTTAATCACTGCTTTCTGTTGATTCTATCACTGATTTTAGTTGATTTTATCACAGATTTCAGTTGGTTTAATCACTGATTTTAGTTAATTTCATCTCTGATTTCAGTTAATTTCATCACTGATGTCAGTTGATTTCATCACAGATTTCAATTGGTTTCATCACTGATTTCAGTTGATTTAATCAGATTTCAGTTGATTTAATCGAGTGTTGTTGATTTCATCACATATTTTAGTATATTTTATCACTGATTACATCGCTGATTTCTGTAATTTTATCAGATTTTAGTTGATTTTATCAACAATTTCAGTTGACTTTATCACTGATTTTAGTTGATTTCATAACTGATTTTAGTTGATTTTTATCACTGATTTAATCACTGATTAGTTATTTCATCACTGATTTCAGTTATTTTAATCACTGATTTCTGTTGATTCTATCACTGATTTTAGTTGATTTTATCACAGATTTCAGTTGGTTTAATCACTGATGTCAGTTGATTTCATCACCGATTTCCATTGGTTTAATCACTGATTTCAGTTGGTCTCATCACTGATTTCAGTTGATTTAATCAGATTTCAGTTGATTTAATCACCGAGTGTTGTTGATTTCATCACATATTTTAGTCTTTTATCACTGATTTCATTGCTGATTTCAGTAATTTTATCAGCTTTTAGTTGATTTTATCAGATTTCAGTTGATTTTATCACTGATTTCAGTTGTTAAATCACAGATTTTAATTATTTCATCACTGATTATAGTTGATTTAATCACTGATTAGTTGATTTCAGCATTGATTTCAGTTTATTTTATCACTGATTTCAGTATTTTATCACGGATTCTAATTGATGTTTCACTGATTTCAGTTAATTTCATTATTGATTTCAGTTGGGCTAATCACTGATTTCAGTTTGTTTTTATCACTGATTTCAGTTGATTTCATCATTGATTTCAATTTGTTTCATAGCTGATTTCAGTTGATTTCTTAGCTGATTTCAGTTGATTTAATAGCTGATTTCAGTTTATTTCAATGCTGATTTCAGTTGATTTCATCACTGATTTTAGTTACTTCATCACTGATTTCAGTTAATTTTTATCAATGATACCAGTTGATTTCATCACATTTAAATTGGTGTCATCACTGATTTAGGGTGAATTCATCACTGATTTCAGTTGATTTAATCAAAGTGCGGTTGTTTTAATCACTGATTTCAGTATTTATCACTGATTTTGGTTGATTTCATAACTGATTTCAGTGGATTTCAGCACTGATTTCAGTAATTTTAATAACGAAATGTAATTGATTTCATCACTGATTTAGTTGATTTTTATAACTGATTTGAATATTTTATCACTGATTCTTATTGATTTTTATAACTGATTTCAGTTTGTTTAATCACTGATTTGATTAATTTAATCACTGATTTCAGTTAATTTCATCATTGATGTCAGTTGATTTCATCGCTGATTTTAACTTTTCTTCACTGATTTCAGTTGATTTCATCACTGAATTCAATTACTTATCACTGATTTCAGTTGATTTATCACTGATTTCAGTTTTTCATGACTGATGCCAGTTGATTTCATCACTGATTTAAATTGGTTTCATCACTGATTTCAGTTGATTTAATCACTGATTTGAGTCATTTTAATCAGTGTAGTTGATTTCATTACTGATTTTAGTTGATTTTATCACCGATTTCAGTTGGTTTAATCACTGATTTAGTTAATTTAATCACCTATTTCAGTTAATTTAATCACTGATGTCAGTTGATTTCATCACTGATTTCAATTGTTTCATCACTGATTTCAGTTTGGCTCATCACTGATTTCAGTTGGTTTTATCACTGATTTCATCACTGATTTCAGTTATTTCATCACTGATGTCAGTTGATTTAATCACAGAGTGTAGTTGATTTCATCACTGATTTTAGTTGATTTGATCACTGATTTTAGTTGCACTTTGTAGCACTGAGATTTTTGTTAATGAAATGTGCATTACAAATTAAATCCATTATTGCTATTATTATTCACACTGTAAACTTTAACTTAAACCGAGTTGATAAATTCTTGAGTGAGACGCTGGACTGAACGAGTTTTTCACAAAGAGCTGACAGAGAATTCAGAGCAATAACGAACAGAAATCAAGACTTTTTAAGGCCTAAAACTGAGATCCTGCAGAAAGCGTTTTGAAAACTTGCACAAACTGCAGCAGAAATACAAATCTGACAATTAAATTAAGCTCGACTCCACCAAACACCCCCAGCTGGCACACGGAGAGTGTTGGGAACCAGAACGTTTGGGTTCATACGATCATCATCATCATGTCAATATTCTAATTATTTTAAAATTATAGTTTTAAATAGCTCTGACATGTGGCTCGACTTTTCTGAGCCAACATGATGTTTGTGGATTTTAGTTCAGCTCAGCTTTTATGTAGAAATCCTGCTTTCATCAGCGTGTGAGACAGAACTAAAATTAATTATTTAACTTTAAACAGAAATATAAAGTGCCTTGAAGTGTTCCCACTTGTGGTTTTGGGTGATTAACCTGCGTAGAAACGAAGCAGTGGGTGGAAATACAGATATTCACACATTATGAACAAAATGTCAGCTGGCCTGCTTGAACACGGAGCCTTTAACCTTCAATTACAGCAAACATGTTTCTGCTCCGGTTTACACGCCAGCAGCACATATTCATTTATAATTAATCAAAAGCCACGAAGCTTCACATTAGACGTAAGTAGGGGCGGTTTTATTAATTAAAACACATTAAATAATGTAAAACTCGTCTCCAGAAAGGTTGAAGTTCTTGGCACACTTCTCATTACCAAACCTTCGGTTTATAAAAGTTTAAAAGATTATTTTATATTTGCACTTGAAGGGCTGGCAGTTGTGCTTTCCACAGCTGGATGATGACATTTTTCTGAAACAAAAGGTGAGTACAGAGGAGCAGCGTGCTTTACGTGTAACTCACCCGCTGATGATGCCGTTTGGATAACCCAAGTGTTCAGCAAACGATTCCTGAATCACAGAAAATTTATCAGCTCAACAAAAACTGATAAAATGTCCAACATTTGAATTTAAAAGCTTCTAAACAAAACTCTCGAGTTAACTTTTAACACAGAAAAATATGGTTTTACCTAAAATTATTGTTAATTTGATATTTATTTATTGTGCGACTTTTAATTTTTATTTTATTTCAGAACAAAACTGAGATGACAAAAATAAAAAGTGCTGAAACAACACGTTGTTCAAAGTGGCTGAAAATGGCTTTCAGCCATTCGATTATGCTCTGGTACCTCCAAATAGAGGAGGAGGAGGAGGAGACCATCTTCAGAGGTCGTTCGGTCATTAATAAACAAACTGATGTGAATAATCAATATTAATTATTAGTAATGAGCACCTCGATGTGCTGGAACATGTAGGGATGGTTGCAGATCTTCTTCAGCTGCATGATGGTGTTCATCAGAGTCTTTGCGCCTCCTTTACCCTGAAGATCACAGCACAAGTTTAAAAGCGGTTTCAAAGGAAAACTAACTTTCATCTCATGGAGGTTAAAAACTAAAGGTGGATGGGAGTAAATTCTAAAGGTACGATTCAACAGATCTGCTTTGATGTAAACAGCAGATGCGTTTCAGATCAGCACGATCTGAGCAGCTCAGATCACATTTACCTTCTTGTCTTTCTCCGAGCCGTCCGTGAGGAGGATTCCTTTCTGCATGTGACGGTACAGAACCTTCTGGATGGCAGACATGTCACACTTGATGACATATTCCACCTGTGGAGACAAAGTACGAGCGTCTTCCTGAAGGTGAACGTGTTTCTTATCGTGGGTTCAGTTTTTACTAACAGCATGAACATCAGCTCAGTACACCTCCTGTTATTTCATCCCATCATACACAACATGCCATTTTACCGGAGTCGGTGCGATTATTTTAAACTAATTTATTTATATCCATTTCAGTAAAAAGCACATTTTGAAAGAGAAGAGCATCTTATCCTCCCAGAACTGCACAGCGCTGACACGATGACCCCACCACTACTTTTAATCAACACCTGCAGCTGAGAACTTTCTTTAATCAGCAGGTATTTAAAAGCGACGGGCTTTAAATACCTGCTGAAGATGAAACGCCGTGTTTAAAGCTGTCAGAGGTAACGGCATTTAAAAATGAGTTGATGTTGGCTAGGCAGCATCTTCCCAACTGACTGTTTGAAGACAAATCACAGAAAGTCAAACAATCTGTTTTCTCCTCATTAGTTTCTGGTAAAACTAAAATCAACAACTCAAAGCTGCTGCGGTCGTACCTGTTCCACCAACACAGGAGGGAATTTAACGAGTTAATTAGAAACAAAATCATGGTGGGCTGTTTCAGAACTCCTGACTGGATTCAGGACAGGACCGTGAACTCTGCTGGTCTGAATGAATGACTTTAGCTCGTCAAACAAAGTGTTTATCCACTCAAATGTTTTTTCTGTGGTTTTATTTTAACAACAGGTTTCAAACCACATCTAAACAACATTAGTTTGACCTGAATGAAACGGCCCCCCATCAGGTACAGAAACGTGCTGAATGCTGGTAAAGTCTGAGGAAACAAGCCGTCCTGAAGTCCCCCCTCGCTGAGGGATTTAAACAGTGAACGTTTGTAGTTTGGGAGAAGTTCTTCTGGACTGAAACTGAACAGAGAATGCCAGGAGGTGGCCAACGGTGGCCCCGGCCCCCTAAGAACTTTAAACTTGGGCCACCTCAATCATTTGAGGAAGCTTTTTTAAGCCTAGACACAACCACATACAAAAAAGGAAGTTGGTCCGTTGCTTATTATTTCAAATTATCCAGCTCACAAGGTTCAATATGGTGGCAGCCATCTTGGATTTTGACATGTTTTAAAAAGGAACCTTTCTCACGCCCAGCTGTAGTCATGCACCAACATGGAAGTCGGTACATTTGTTTCTCAAGTCATCGTGCTCACAACTTTCAGACGGATGGACAAAGGGGATTTCCTAGTCCCCCTTTTGGCTCTGAGACGGGGGACAACAAAGTTGAGTTTAAACCCACCTTCTCTGGCAGCTGAGACTCCACTTCTTTCTTGAGTCTCCGCAGGAGGAAGGGGCGCAGCACCTTGTGCAAGCGCCGGATGATCAGGATGGTTTCCTCCTCGTTAAGGTCAACCTGAACAGACAGGAAAGAGTTTGTGAGTGTGATGTCTCAAAGACCGGACTGTTCTGCAGAACGAACATCTGTTCTTCCTCAGAGACTGGAGAATGAAAATTACTGTGGATGTGCCGGAGCTTTCAGAGGAACTAAAACCAGATTACTCTCAAATCAGTCCAATAGAAAACACTCGGAGAACAACGAGCCGATGTTTTTGTGTGTTCGTGCACGTTATCATTAAAATGTGACCTCCGTCAAGACTCCAGTGATCAGTATACAGTTCTGAGGCGACCCGCATGCGCAGAAGACGGGACATCAGACGCAGCACGCTGCGTTCAAAGAAGTAAATATGGATGCTACACGTTAGCATGTTAGCATGTGTGATTCTGAAGTTGTGTGATCAGAACAGACTAAATAATCTGACAGGATCGTTTGGTCCAGTGTTTACATTTAAACTTGGATCTTGAAGACTCCTCCGGTGCAGCGCTGCATTTCTGGAGCAGGAGCGACGTACTGAAGGCAAAAACAAACTTGAGTATCGATCCTACCACGTTAGCATCGATACGGTCTGACGCTAACGTTAGCATCGTCTTTTGTTGTAGATTCAGTCAGGAGGTGGGAAACTAAAAGAACAAAGATGCAGCAGCTGGACTTTTGTTCTGTAGCTGAAGACATGCAGAGGAGCTAGATTTAATCTGCATGATGTTGGTATCATCATCATCATCATCGTTACTTGGATCGATCTGCTTACCCCGACCTCACTGACTCAAAAATCGGAGGAAATATGAAGTGAGCGTTCAGAACGAGGTAGACTGAACAACTGATTCACTGATTCAGTACCACACACGACAAAGACCTGCGGCGGAGTTTAGACAAAAATCAAATAAAATCACATTTGTCATGTTCAGACTGTCATGAAAGAATCAGACACGGGTCGTGTCTGCCTGCAGCGTGGAGGTAGCCTCTGCTCCTGTTAGTAAAACATCTGGTGGAGGTAG